GGTCAGATTTAGGGTCTGTTGGGGATTTCATGACCCCACTCATCCCGTTGGGCGTTTTGGGGTTGGATTTAGGGTCTGTTGGGGATTTGATGGCCCTACTCATCCCAGTGTGGATTTTGGGGTCAGATTTAGCATTTTTTTGGCATTTTGGGGTCAGATTTAGGGTCTGTTGGGGATTTGACGGCCCCACTCCTCCCAGTGTGGATTTTGGGATCGGATTTAGGATTCTGGGGGGATTTGATGGCCCCACTTGTTCCAATGTGGATTTTGGGGTCGTATTTAGGGTCTGTTGGGGATTTGATGGCCCCACTCATCCCGGTGGGCATTTTGGGGTCGGATTTAAGATTTTTGGGGGATTTGATGGCCCCAATGTGGATTTTGGGGTCGGATTTAGGATTCTGGGGGGATTTGACAGCCCCACTTGTTCCAATGAGGATTTTGGGGTCAGATTTAGCATTTTTTTGGCATTTTGGGGTCGGATTTAGGGTTTGTTGGGGATTTGATGACCCCACTCATCCCGTTGGGCATTTTGGGGTCGTATTTAGGGTCTGTTGGGGATTTGATGACCCCACTCATCCTGGTGGGCATTTTGGGGTCGGATTTACGATTCTGGAGGGATTTGACAGCCCCACTCATCCCGTTGGGCATTTTGGGGTTGTATTTAGGGTCTGTTGGGGATTTGACGGCCCCGCTCCTCCCGTTGGGCATTTTGGGGTCGGATTTAGCATTTTCTTGGCATTTTGGGGTCGTATTTAGGGTCTGTTGGGTTCCCACCCCGCAGCCGCGTCCGACGCGGGGCCGGATGCGCATCCACTCCCTGGAGAACGTGGACAAGGCGCTGCAGTTCCTGAAGGAGCAGCGCGTGCACCTGGAGAACGTCGGCTCCCACGACATCGTGGACGGGAACCACCGCCTCACGCTGGGCCTCATCTGGACCATCATCCTCCGCTTCCAGGTTCGGGGGTCGTCCCCCCTTCCCCCCCTTTCCCCCCTCCCCATATAGGGTGGGCGCCCCCCGACCCCGCTGCCCCACGGCCGCCCCCCAGATCCAGGTGATCAAAATCAAGACGGAGGACAACCGCGAGACGCGCTCGGCCAAGGATGCTCTGCTGCTTTGGTGCCAGATGAAAACGGCGGGGTGAGGCCCCCCCCCCCCCCCAAAACCAACACCCCCCTCTCCTCCCCCCCCCCGGGCCCCATATTTATGGGGGTGGTCTGCTGACCCCCTCCCCAAATCCCAATCCCTGCCGCAGGTACCCGGAGGTGAACATCCAGAACTTCACCACCAGTTGGAGGGACGGCTTGGCCTTCAACGCCCTCATCCACAAACACCGGTCGGTTGTGGGGGTTTGGATGGGGGAATTTGGGGGGGGGGAGGTGATTTTTGGGGTGAAACGCCGCGGATTTGGGTTCGAGGCGGCCGCGTCCCCCCCCCCCTGCAGGCCGGATCTCGTGGACTTCCAGAAGTTGACCAAATCCAACGCCACCTACAACCTGCAGAGCGCCTTCAACACGGCCGAGCAGCACCTGGGGCTCAGCAAGCTGCTGGACCCCGAGGGTAAAAGGGGGGGGGGGGTAGGGGGTGTTCTGTCCGTCCGTCCGTCCGTCTGTCCGCCCATTTCTGGACTGATCCGTTGCTGGATCCGTCCGTCCGTCCCTTCCTTCGCCCCATCGATTTGTTTCTCCGTTGAGCCGTCGGTTCGTCTCCATCCGTCCGTCTGTCCGTCTCCTTGTCCACTCATCTGTCTGCTGATCCGTCCGTCCGTCCTTCCGTCTGTCTCTTTGTCCATCCGTCGGTCCATCTCCATCCCTCTGTCCGTCTGTCCGCCTCTTCATCCGTCCTTTCATTTCTCCGCCTCTCCCTTCATCCGTCCATCCGTTTGTCGGCCCGTCCGTCCATCCTTCCGTCCTTCTGTCTGTCCATCCATCCGAACATCCGGCCGTGTCTCCGCGGGTCCATCAGTCTCTCCCTCCATCTCTCCGTCCTGCTGTCCATCTGTCCGTCCTCCCGTCCGTCCAAACACCCATTTCTCCATCGACCGACGGCTCCGTCCACCCGTCTGTCTGTCCTTCTGTCCATCTCTCTGTCCATCCCTTGACCCACAGATCCATCCGTCAATGATGGCTCTGTCCGTCCGCCCATCCCTCTGTCTGTCCATCCGTCCGTTTCTCCTCCCGTTGATCCGTCTGTCCTCCCGTCCACCTCTCTGTCCGTCCATCTGTCCGTCCACCCCTCCGTCCACACAAACTCCCATTTCTCCACCAATTGATCGATCTGTTCTTCGGTCCGTCCACCCGTCCCTCCGTCCATCCATCCATCTGTCCATCCATCCGTCCCTCCGTCCATCCATCCGTCCGTCCTCCCCTCCATCTCTTCGTCCATCCGTCCCTCCGTCCATCTGTCTGTCCATCCGTCCCTCCCTTCATCCATCCCTCCGTCCATCCGTCCATCCTCCCCTCCATCTCTTCGTCCACCCGTCCATCTGTCCATCCATCTATCCCTCCCTCCATCCATCCGTCCGTCCATCCATCCATCCTCCCCTCCATCTCTTCATCCACCTGTCCATCTGTCCATCTGTCCGTCCATCCGTCCCTCCGTCCATCCATCCATCCATCCATCCTCCCCTCCATCTCTTCATCCATCCGTCCATCCGTCCATCTGTCCATCCCTCCCTCCATCCTCCCCTCCCACCTCTCCCTCCCACCCTCCCCACCTTCCCGTTAATTGCTCCCACCTTCGTTACCATCCCAAACGACCCCCGGGGGGGTGAGGGGGGGGGGCGCAGGGGGGCTCTCACCCTTCGGGGGTACAACGCATCGCCTCCCCCCCCCCCCCCAGACGTCAACATGGAGGACCCCGATGAGAAGTCCATCATCACCTACGTCGTCTCCTTCTACCACTACTTCTCCAAGATGAAGGCGCTGGCTGTGGAGGGGAAACGCATCGGGAAGGTGGGGGTCCCAATGTGGGGTGACCCCGTCCATGGGGTGCCATATCTTTGGGGTTCCCCATCTCTGGGGTGTCCCCTTTGTGGGGTGACCCCGTCCATGGGGTGCCCTATGATTGGGGTTCCCAATGTCTGGGGTGTCCCATCCATGGGGTGTCACGACTTTGGGGTTCCCAAACTGTGGGGTGACCCCATCCATGGGGTGCCATATCTTTGGGGTTCCCAATCTCTGGGGCGCTCCATCCATGGGGTGCCACGTCTTTGGGGTTCCCCATCTCTGGGGCGCTCCATCCATGGGGTGTCAGGTCTTTGAGGTTCCCAAACTGTGGGGTGCTCCATCCATGGGGTGCCACATCTTTGGGGGTTCCAATCTCTGGGGTGTCCCCTCTGTGGGGTGATCCCATCCATAGGGTGCCCTATTTTTGGGGTTCCCAAACTGTGGGGTGACCCCATCCATGGGGTGCCATATCTTTGGGGTTCCCAATCTCTGGGGCGCTCCATCCATGGGGTGTCAGGTCTTTGGGGTTCCCAAACTGTGGGGTGACCCCATCCATAGGGTGCCATATCTTTGGGGTTCCCAATCTCTGGGGTGTCCCATCCATGGGGTGCCACATCTTTGGGGTTCCCTCATCTTTAGGATGTCCCATCTGTGGGATGATGCATCCATGGGGTGTCATGTATTTGGGGTTCCCAAACTGTGGGGTGACCCCATCCATGGGGTGTCAGGTCTCTGGGGTTCCCAAACTGTGGGGTGCTCCATCCATGGGATGCCATATCTTTGGGGTTCCCAATCTCTGGGGTGTCCCATCCATGGGGTGCCACGACTTTGGGGTTCCCAAACAGTGGGGTGACCCCATCCATAGGGTGCCCTATTTTTGGGGTTCATAATCTCTGGGGTGTCCCCTTTGTGGGGTGACCCCGTCCATGGGGTGCCCTATGATTGGGGTTCCCAATCTCTGAGGTGTCCCATCCATGGGGTGTCACGACTTTGGGGTTCCCAAACAGTGGGGTGACCCCGTCCATGGGGTGCCATATCTTTGGGGTTCCCAATCTCTGGGGTGTCCCATCCATGGGGTGCCACATCTTTGGGGTTCCCTCATCTTTAGGATGTCCCATCTGTGGGATGATGCATCCATGGGGTGTCACGTCTTTGGGGTTCCCAATCTCTGGGGCGCTCCATCCATGGGGTGCCCTATTTTTGGGGTTCCCAAACTGTGGGGTGACCCCATCCATAGGGTACCATATCTTTGGGGTTCCCAATCTCTGGGGTGCTCCATCTATGGGGTGTCCCCTCCTTGCTGTGCCCCATTTTTTACTTGCTCCATCTTTAGGATGTCCCCACCATGGGGTGCCCCATCTTTGGGGTGTCCCCTCCGTGGGGTGTCTCGCCTATGGGGTGTCCCCTCCATGCTGTGCCCCATCTTTGGGGTGTCCTCTCTATGGGGTGCCCCCTACCACGGCGTCCCCCCACCCAATGGTCGTCCC